AAGAGGGAGGCCCCATCTCTACTATAAATAGAAAGAAATTAGCCAAACAATTAAATATAGAAAAAAATTACCTGGGCTTGGTAGTGGGTGCCTGTAGTCCTAGCTACAGGAGAGGCTGAGGTAGGAGGATTGCTTGAGCCCAGGAGTTTGAGGTGCTGTGAGCTTGGCTAACACCATGGCACTCTAGCCCTGCCAACAGAGTGAGATTCTGTCTCCAAAAAAAAAAAAAAAAAAATATATATATATATATATGTATATATATATATGTAATAGAAAAAATAATTGTGGTATATTAGTTAGGTTTTAGCAATTCTTACTTTAAATGGGAAGAATTTATTGAAGGGATATAGGTGTTTATCAAATCATTGAAAGGGATGGAGAAGTAGGCTCTATTTAGGTTGGGTCTCCAGGAATGACTCCTACAAAAATAGCATAGAACTAGCTTCAAAGAAGAGCTCTGTTTGCCTGGAAGAGCCTGGTGAATCGAGGAGTGCTTGATGCATTTTTGGCTCCAGAGCCTTGCTTCGTCTGCTGGACTCACAGCAGTACAATGGACTTCTCATACTCATGGCACCTCTCTCTGCAGTTTACTCAGCTCTAAGTCATGTCTTGAGGAAATTCATATGATTTGAAACTAAAGAACATCCTAAATTGTCAGGGAATGTGGGAGTTTTTAGCTTTTTAGGATCCACAGTATGTAAAAACTCACCAGGTGGTGGTTGGGACAGACTGTGTACGGGCCAACTTGCCTTATCCTTTACAAGGTGCACACTGGCCTCAGGTGCCAAAGACCATCAAGTCCTGTGCCCCTGCTTAGGCAGCCTCTCTGACTGGTCTGGCAAATTCCAGATCCAGAAATTGTGCCACACCAGTCAAGCACGTGGAGGATATTCAAGTTTGTAATTTATAATTAACAAACCCACACACCCTGGCCAGCTATCCACTGTCCCCACCGCCATCATACCCACTTATTTAAAATAAGGAGAAAGTCACATGGCAACATCAGCCTTCCAAAGGGCCTGAGAATGTAACCCCTTTTAAAAGGGAGTGTCTTCCCAAGTCAGACACCCACAGAATCCTAGCACTTGGTCTTTCTGTCCTACTTAGAAAAGAGGAAGGGTAATTGCTGCCTCATTCATTCATGCCAAAGTTGTTCTAGTTTGCTTTCTGATTAAGAAGCAGCTGAGAAACCATTTCCATCACAGCATGATGGAAAGTACTGTAGAAACCTCTCCAATGTGAGGAGAAATGGCCATCACATTAATAGATGTAAATAGAAAGAGGGAGTTAAATTAATGAATCAAAGTCAGTGCCTGAAGACCTCTTAGATATTAACAAGCATCGTCTTCTTGTTTTCTTGATATTGAGATTGAGGATTTGTCATGAACTAAATTTGCCCCCTCCCCCATACACTCATATGATGAGGTGCTCAGTATCTCAGAATATATTTGGAGACAGGGCCTTGAAAGAGGTAATAAAGATTAAGTGAGGTATTAGAGTAGGGCCTAATCCAATATCACTGGTCTTATGGAAAGAGGCGAATAGGGGATACAAACATGCATAGAAGAAAAACCATGTGAAGGCAGAGGGGTAATACAGCCATCTATAAGTGAAGGACAGAGGCCTCACAGGAAATCTACCCTGCTGATACCTTGATCTTAGGCTTCCAGCCTCCAGAACTGTGAGAAAATAAATTTCTGTTGCTTAAGTTACCCCGTCTGTGGGGCTTTGTTATTGAAGCCTTAATAGGCTTGAAGAATGAAAGCAACGTTCCCACCATTACACAGCTCCTAGAGGAGATTTCTCCTGGATCTCAGTCCCATTGTCCCTTCCAGAGAAGTGTTCATAGATGCTTCAATGCCCACTCAACTCCTTGCTGCCTGTTATAATAACCCATGGCTTCTTTTATTTTGTCATATCTTAGTGCATTGTTACACAGAGACTTTATTTCCTCATAGTTCTGGTGGCTGAGACATTAAGGACCAAAATGCCAGCAGGTTAGGTGTCTGGTGAGGGCCCGTCTCCGCTTCCAAGATGGCACCTTGAATCGCTGTGTCCTTAAGTGATGGGAAGGACAAAAGGGCACAGAGGTCCTAAGCTTGTTCCTTACAGTCCTTTTATAAGACAATAACCTCTTCATGAGGAGCCATCATGACTTAATCACTTCCCCAAAAGGCCTCATATCTTAATACCTTCACAATGAGGTGTAGGTTTCAACGTGAATTTTGGAGGGACTCACATTCAAACCATAGCAGTCACATTCCAGAGATTCCTCAAATATCTACTCTCCTCTGTCCACTCTGTTCTCATCTGTTCATCTCATTTGTTCTTTCCAGAATCTATTCACAACCTCTTTCCCATTATTCCTTTTCTACTCTGGTTAGTAGAACTTCTCTTTCCTTTCTTCTCCTTCTGAACACTGCAATACATAAAAGAGATGACAAGAAAACTGGGAGTCTGTGTGGGGATTCTTTTTCTGGGCATGACTGCAGAGCATGCCTGTCCACCTGACTCTCTAGAATCATTGAGATAAAGTGAAGCAGCATCAATAACACTAGCTCCAAGGCATGTGAAATTCCCAAATTCTCAAAATCCTCTATGCATGACTGATATTTTAGAAATGCTTGCTCAAATTGGGTTAAAGATAGCAAGTATGTGATCTTCCTTTAATATGCAATAATAACCACCTACTCCTTTCCAATGGATATTTTATAGTGCTCATGTGTATTGTTCATGGTTTGTAATACTTAGAGAATATAGGATTCACAGATACTATTAATAGAATCAAATAAAACACAAATGTTTTCAATGAAAATATACCTTTATTAGTGACATTTTATAATAAAAGTATGAAAATCAGAAAAAACTTATTGCCAAAGAAAGTCTTGTTCAATTCCACAAATATTTATGGAGTACCATCACTGTTAAAGAAGCAGTGAAGAATATACAAGATAGAAAAAAGATAAAGACACAATCACTTTATACAAGAAGCATATAACTTTTAAGAGAGACAAGATTTGTGCATCCTCCTAAAATGTAATCTGTCTCGAACGTGAATTAGCTGAGTCTAATAAGTGCTACCCACTGTTATTGGTATTCAGAAATGAAGGCTACTTTTTCCATTGCCATGGCACTAACAACTATTGAAATGTTTCTTTTCCCATCCAGATGAAACTACACATACAAAATGTGTATATAACTATTAGTGGGTTTCAAAACAGTAAGATTGCCATCTCAATGCCAATCCCCAGTAAAATTCTGGAAATGAATGATTTCACAAATAAGTTGGAAGTGTTTTGAAAAGACTGGTGATTACTAAGATCCCATATAAAATGATTCATGATAAATCATGCCAAATGCACCTCATTTTTAAAATAGGGCTTTAAATGGTTGTATTTATATAAGTCCTCTAGTATGTTTTGATTGCATGAAATGATTTGATATGTTTCCCATGATATCCTTCTGGGAGAGATGGTTAATTATAGGTTGGATGGCACATCAGTTATGTTTTGCTGCAAAATAAACCATTCCAAAGGTAATGGCTTAAAATATCTATCATTTATTTGCCCTGATTCTGTAGGTCAACAATTTGGGCTAAACTCTGCTGGTCTTACTGGAGTTACTAATGTGGCTAAAGTCCGCTGGTAGATTGGGACTGGTTGGTCTAGGGAGTCTCAGTTTGGAGGGGTTATCTCTGTTCCATAGGATGGCATCCTTGTCTGGGCTATCGGGAGGTCTTAGGACAGCAAGAAAAGAAAGGCCCTAAAGTGTAAGATTATGCTTGCAATACATTTGCTAATGTCCCATTGGCTAAAGCAAGTCACACAATCTTTCCTAGAGTTATGATGAAGAGGACTACCTCAAGGCATGGATATAGGGAGGTGGGATTCTGTGGGGGCCAGAATTGCAACAATCTACCACAAATGGTATTAATTGAGCAGATTTACATCTAACTGAATAATTCCCAAAGAGGAAGACTACCAAAGAGCCTGCCTTCATCCTATCCTATTCTACATTTTTGTTAATAAATTAGACAAAGGCAATGAAATATGATTATAATTTTAACCATGGCACAAAACTGTGATGAATAAAACAAAGCCCAAGTATGACTTTGGCAGTTACATTACTTGACAAAACTGATAAAACACGATTTATCAGTGTTAAATTAAATATCTTAAATTTATTCTACTAAAATAAATTGTGTTCAGGCAGAATTGAAAGTTATGTGGAAGCTACATGGAGGGCTTTTTTTTTTTTTGAGACAGAGTCTTACTTTGTTGCGCCGGCTAGAGTGAGTGCCGTGGTGTCAGCCTAGCTCACAGCAACCTCAAACTCCTGGGCTCAAGCATTCCTACTGCCTCAGCCTCCAAGGAGCTGGGAGTATGGGCATGCTCCAACATGCCCGTCTAATTTTCTCTCTATATATTTTTAGTTGTCCTGATAATTTCTTTCAATTTATAGTAGAGACGGGGTCTCGCTCTTGCTCAGGGTGGATTCGAACTTTAGACCTCAAGCAATCCGCCCGCATTGGCCTTCCAGACTGCTAGGATTACAGGCGTGAGCCACCGCACCTGGCCTACACGGAGGTTTTATTTGCTACCAAATTTATGAGTCTAAAGTGGTCGGAATGAATTAATGAAAATGTGGTTTATAGGTCACGAACAGTAATGGTTTCCCAGAGCAAAATATTCCCAGTGTATTGTGGCTGTTTTTGGGTGAAAATTTGTACAGGGGTATGGAGCTAGAGAAAATCTAGAAAGTGAATGACATGGTGAGAGGATTCAAATACCGTCTCCTGGAGGAAGAGTTAGAGTACTTGTTGTAGAGAAAAGAAGACTGAAGACTTACAGAAGATACAAATCTTTTTTACCTTATTTGAAGAGCTTCCATGTGTAATAGAAGAGAGCTCAGGAGTGAAAGCAAGACCAATGGGAGAATGTTGTTTGTGGACAGACTTAAGCTCAAAATAGGTATAGTAATTTAATGACTCAAGTTGTCCATTGAGGAATGGAGAGTCTTATGAGGTCCTGATCTCTCTCTTTGGAAGCTCAGTCAGCATCTGGATGACTGTCCTGAGATTACGTATATTTCTACTGGCAGAGCAAGACCAGACCAGGATAGCTAAGTGTTTAGATTTCTAAGTACTTGTGTTCTCATCCTGGATATATTTGTTATTAGCTACTTGAGTTTTATTTTCAGTAAAATGAAGACTCACTATGGGTTAAGTGAGATAATCCATGTAAAGTACCTGGTATATAGTTGCTGTCAAATAAATGTTGATCTTCCCTCTTCATCTAGACCCATGACATCATGTTGCCCATGTGACATACCTTTATTTTCAGTAAGACAAGGGCATTCATTTCCTTTGGAGCTCCCAGAATAATGGGCCACATACTTCAGATTGCTGAGGACATTCTTGGCTTATGCATATCATCTCAGCATAACTATTAATAGCATCCCACTTTACCTTTAAAAGTGTTCCAATTTAAATAAATCAAAGGATCAATCTACCTAGCACTTTCTCAGTGTTTTTCTTAGGGCATCTTTCAGTTCCTTGTTCCTCATACTATAGATCAAGGGGTTTAAAATGGGGGTGATAAAAGTGTAGACCACAGCCACGATCCGGCCCATCTCAGGAGAGTAGCTGGAACTGGGGGACAGATATATAAAGCTGGTGCAGCCATACTGCAGGAGGACCACCAGGATGTGAGAGGAGCAGGTGGAGAAGGCTCGCTGACGCCCTTCTGCTGACTGGATCCGTAAAATGGCTACCACGATGAAGACATAGGAGATGGAGATGAGTGAGAGGGGGATGCTTAGGACGATGAAGCTGATGATATAGACGGCAGTCTCATGAACATGTGTGTCTGCACAAGCCAGGTGCATCACTGCAGGTACATCACAGTAGAAGTGGTAGATCTCATTGTTTCGGCAGAATGGGAGTTGGAAGATTAGAATGGTGAGCAGGAGTGAGATGAGGAACCCCAGCACCAGGGACCCTACCATCAGCTCCATGCACAAAGACCAACTCATGATGAGGGTGTATCGCAAAGGGTAACAGATCGCTATAAACCGGTCATAAGCCATGACTGCAAGCAGGACACAATCAGCCCCACCCAAGAGGATAAAGAAAAACATTTGGGTGCCACATCCAGTGATGGAAACAGGAGTTTTTCCCATTGAAAGGAGGTTTGCCAAGGCCAGTGGGGCAATGGAAGATGTATAGAAGATTTCTAGAACTGCCAAGTTAGCCAGAAAGAAGTACATGGGGGTGTGGAGTGAGTGATTGACCTTGACGGTGACTGCAATTGAGGCATTTCCACTGAGGCTGGTCAAGTACATCATCAGGAAGGCCACAAAAATCACCATCTGGACCTCAGGGTTAGGTGAGAATGGACGAAAGAAGAATTGTATCTTTGTAGTTTTATTTAATCTTTCCATAGGTAGTATATTAGACCTATTAAAAGAAAGGATGATACAAGTCTCAAGTCATCTCTAGTTTAATATGATGGTTTCCCAAATTGTCTGTTCAGTGTTGCCTTGGTCCTGTCCTATGGCCCCAGTTAGCTCTCTCCAATGCTATCTTACATTTGGATCCTTGTGATAGCTATCTAGCCTCTCATGTCCTTTCTCTTTCCTCTCTAATCCATCTGGTTCTCTATTGTCATAATATTCACCTTAGATATTTTTGGTGCCTTTCTAATGTGTAAATGTCCATCTTCACACTCCTCTGCGAAACATTTCAGTCTCTCTTGTATCTGGCTTTTTTAGCCTAATCTCACAATGGCACTCAATCATTCCTGTTCTGTACCACGTGGTCTACTCATTCAGATCCTCCTTCCTGTTCATACAGTGTCATTTTCCTTCCATCTAGAAATACTGTCTTCTCTCTTTTGCCTAATCCATACCCTACCCAATTTTCAAGTTCTAGAATATATGTTCTTCTTTCTAGAAATCTTCCTAGGCCACTCAAACTGAAATCTCTCTATTCTTTCTCGGAAATTCTATTATGATTTTAAGGCTAATATACTGTCCTTTACTTCTGTATATCCTGTCCTCAACTATATTTTCTGTTCTGCAAGGATAAGGCTGGGGCTCTGTTGGCAGGGACTTATGACAAATTATCATTTATTTCATATTAACCATAGGCATGTTGAAAAGTGCTAAATTATGCATGAGCTCACTTAATCCATAAAACCATTTTAGTAGGCATATACTATCATCATCCTCATTTAACAGATGAAGACAGTCTGACTATAGAGCTCTTGTGCTTAACCTAGTTTGTACTATACTATCTTCTTCTATACTTTATATCTCTTAGATAGCTTTATTATTTGATTGATTCCAGTTCAGCTATAGGTAAGACTAGATGGTCTACTGGAAAAACAGCACCTGAAATCTAAGACAAAATATGTTGGATTACAGTGTTTTCAGACTTGAGACATAATTACAATCTAGATTGTGATTTATCTAGTAAATGTTTTCCCCGGCAATGCATCAGAACGAACCTTCCTTCTTTCTCTTCTAAGGAGCAAAGAGAAAGTGTTTGTCTAAAAATTATATTTTAGGTGGAAAGAATGGGAGAGTTGTTTAATTCATTCTTCATGAGGGGGAACATGGGAACCAAGAAAAGGTAGAATCCTCCGTGACCCATGACCCAAGCTGTCATAGGTGCCTATAGTTTTAAGCTCATGCCTCTTGGTTGCTAACAGTCTAGTCCCCAAACCATTATATACAATCTTGTGGTTGAACTAAGCCTATACAGTCAAAATGAAATGAATTTCTCCATTCATTAGGACACCAGAGATGAAAAGTCCCTCTGGTGCCTTCTGTTTTTGTTCTTTTCAGCCTCCTTAGGCTCAGGAAGTCCACCCTCTGTCGTGGGCATAAATCCCTATTCTCAAAACACTTGTGTCTCAATGTAGTGTAAATCCTACATTGGCTTCATTTTATTACGAGGTTTAGGAAAGAGAAGGGGAAATCAAACCTAGAGAAATGCTGTGAAATTCAGGGTATCACATGAGAAATCCAAGTACTATAATATCCATTATAATATTGGTCTAACTATTGTCTTAAAATCTTTATAAAAAAGTTTCCCACTCATCATGTTATGACCTCCTCCTGCCCAACAGGTAGTACTTAAAAGAAACATGGGGGAAAAAGGATACCTTGTCTTTGGCTAAATTTGTTCCAGAAAGAAAGAGATGCTTGTTATTGTTGCTACTGTTATTAGGACAAGGTAAAGATGTAAGTTAGGCTCTAACTAGATGTTATGTCAACTTTAAAGTATATGAAGTGCTTTGTTATTGCAAAAGAGAAACCAATTAGACACAACTTTTAGATGGTCCAAAATGCTGAGATATCCCAACCATATGATCCCCAAATATCGTACCAAATGTTGAGTATCATGCAAACCAATAGCTGCATGCTTTGCTGACTTCACTTTCTATATAAATCTGAAATGGTGGTAGTGGTTATTTGGATCCATACAGGCTTCTTTTTTTAAATTTTTTAAATTATTTTTAAAAAAATTTTTTTTTTTTTGAGACAGAGTCTCACTGTGTTGCCCAGGCTAGAGTGAGTGCCGTGGCGTCAGCCTAGCTCACAGCAACCTCAATCTCCTGGGCTCAGGGGATCCTCCTGCCTCAGCCTCCCAAGTAGCTGGGACTACAGGCATGCACCATGATGCCCGGCTAATTTTTTCTCTATATATTAGTTGGCCAATTAATTTCTTTCTATTTATATTAGAGACGGGGTCTCGCTCTTGCTCAGGCTGGTTTTGAACTCCTGACCTTGAGCAATCCGCCCGCCTGGGCCTCCCAGAGTGCTAGGATTACAGGCGTGAGCTACCGCACTGGTCCCATACAGGCTTCCTAAACTGGAACGTGCATATTCTAGAATCTATAGGATACAAAGCTGTGTTTTTGTAGAAAGTAAATTTCCAGGATGAACATGGCACAGCTGGTTTAAGGATCAATTTTAACTTGAAAAATTTTGGAGAATGATTTCATATCAAAATAAACATGCAGATAATGTAGAATATTAGGAGATTTACATCAATTTTCAGGGATAAAATCATAACTGCTCAATAAAATTTCTTTCTTGTGGGTGATCACCAAATCCTCAGGAATGTAAATGGTCTTTTATGCTAATTAGCAAGTTGAAAAGTTTTGTATTGATTTAGACTACAGATTGGCTATTACTCAATTGAAAATATAATTCCCCAAAGTTCCCAAGTCTGAACTGTTGACTTGAAGCAGATTTTGTTTGTTATTCTAAAGAAAACAACCTAGTCAGCTTCTTCTAAGATAGGTATGGCCCGGAGAAAAACTCGCGGAAGAGAGCTAGTCTTTGGAAATATAGCTTATCCTCTTTTCAGACTGTTTACCATCATGCTACTAGGAGAATGTGGCTTTACAAGTTCTTTATCCTTCAGGTAATACACATACAAGTTGACTAGTGGCCTCAGAAGATCATAGATGAACACAGACTCAAATCTCTGCCTAGTTACCTGGTCCATCTCTTCCAAAGAGAGTGACTGACAAGGCCAAGGTTGCACAAGTGGGTCAATTTTTAATTCATCATTTAAATGCAAAAGGTACTTAGGGTGCTTGAAGATGATTGAAATGATCTACTCTATAGAATCAAAAGGACAAGACTGTCATTCAGAACTTCCCTTATTCCGATTCTGTTTGCAACACTTTTGTGCCCTCCTGCACCCCCCTTGCCAGTTTCTTTCAATTTAGATTTGTAGAAAACCTTTAATCACAGGGATGGTTTGCAAGGAACTCAGTTTATCCAAAACTGCAAAGAAAAGAGGGAAAGTCTAAGTGGCATTTTAATTAAGTCAATAAAACTGCCTGTTTTGGTTATACAACTAGATATTAGGGGAATGTATATATAAAACACGAAAAAGCATATACATTTTGGGGAAATGACACTTTCAGGAAAGTAAACTATGTTAGAATTACATGATGTGTCCTCAATTCCAGCTTTTCCACTTATTAGCTTTGGATCTTGCTGGGCCACTTGCCATCTCTAAGACCCTCTTTGCTCAGAATAACAATATACTACTTTACAATATTGATGTGAGGTGCAACTTAAACAATGTCCATGAAAGAAACTTCTAGCATGCCTAGCACATATTAACTACTTACTAAAGTATAATAATGACTCTATTCCTTCATTTTCTATCCTGAGATTGGAAAAAAAGTGGAAGCATAGGATTTGGGAAAAAAAAAAGATGAAAACCCATGGCATCACAGAGGCAATTATTTCAAATGGTTCAACATGACAGTTTTTACAAACAAACTGTGAGTATATCATATGAAGCATTCAGAAATTCAACAAAAATTTATTGTTCTCTTAACATTGCTTGGGTGCTGTGCACTGCCAAGTACTCTAAGATTTGTACACTTTGCTAATCATTTTACAGGCATCATTTCCAGTAAAGCGGCCATTCCTGTGCAAGACATACATTCACTCTTTATATTTTTTCATATGAAGAAATTGAGGCTTAAGAGTTTAACTTGCCTAGCTAGGAAATGACAGACTAGAACTTAATTCCTAGGTCGGTCTGGAGGCAAGTCTGTTTCTATCATTAAAAGAAAGTGTACCTCAGTGAGCAATGTACTATGTGCAAGTCTGAATGATAGGTGCTCTAGAGAGACAAAATCTTATTTCTAATTGTCCTTTATCAACAAACTAAGTCACTGTAAAGTGATATGCCATGAGCATTCCTCAGATTATTACAAAGGCAGTGCTCAGTACCCTAACTTGTAACCTCTCTCGCTTTCTTTTTTGCTCCTCCTTTTCTTTCTCTCTTACCACCTATTCATTTTATCAACAGTATTTATTTTAATAAACTCCTTTTACAGACAGGGCTAGCTAAATATAAAGCATAGCTCTAGATTCTGGGAGAAGAGGGAGAAATGTGGAAAAGGAGATTGTTCAGAAAGCTCAAAATAGAATGAAAGAGATAGTACTAAAATGACACAAGTCAAATTCAGGTAAGAGCTGTCATAAAAGGACAACATGCTAGGGGAGCTCAGGCATTCTCTATTTTTGCAATAAAGTCCTTTGAAAAATTGCATGTAATTACAATTATTTTTTAATGCATAAGGGTGACTCCTATGTAAAGGAAACTTCTGGTCACTGCTTTTATAATAGAAGTAGATATTTTCTAATTTTTCAGTTTTATAAATTTGAAATTTGAAATGATGAATATTTAAAAAAAAGTAGTGGACCCTTGAAAAAACTCACATTTCTGTATTTCGGGACTGGTTAATATTGAGCTCATTTTATCTGATCTAGTGTGTGATCCCTGGACTGTTTCGAACAGTTTCTCTGTTCTTTTCATCAGTTTGAAGAGCATGGCATTCACAGTATGTGTTCTAGAGTTCCACGGAAACCATCTGGTATAAAATATTGGTTGTAAGAAC